GGTGCGAGTACATCCAGCTGATGAGTCCTAAAAAGGATGAAATGTACGTCCAGAATTTCACTGATAGTTACTATGACGAACACGACCTGCCTCTCCTGAAATATGTGCATCAGTATTGCATCAAACTTCATTTTATTATTATTCACTTGCTGGCGGCCATAGTTCGAGTCCAAGACGACTGTTTTGTTTTATTTCGGTCTCATCAGCTGGATGTCCCTGCATCCTTGTGATTGATGGTAATCTTATCACTGACTGGTTCGAACTCCAGAATGTTATCCATTCAGATACCAACTCACAAGTGATAATTCTAAGTCTATTCCTGCTTCAGAAATGTGATAATCACAGATTAAAGAGAAAAAAAATTAGTTATTGTGGAAAGATAATTGAATATGCATGACTGTATTTTATGAATTAGATAAGACCCTTTTCTTAACTAGGAAAAAGTTAACTCAATCAAGAAAAGGTCTTATCCTTGAGAACGTCAACTGTTGTTTAGTAAAAGAAGCTGATATTCTCATTGAAATGAAAACCATACATAACTACCAGTAGTCAACAGATATACTTTATGATACCTCTTTCATATTGTCACGTTGCTGTAAAATTCAATAAACAAAATGAAAACCATACCCAATAGCTTCTAGGTCGTAGAGTTTCTAAAGGATTACGATCGACTTCTTGGATGCAGCTACATCAATAATGATAATAATATGAAGCTGTTCACCTCTATGTTATGATAAAATAGAGTGATTTATTCTGATCCTCACCCTTCTATTCCCCATTTCATTCTTTATCTCAGTCACTTGTTTATGGTATCTCAAATGCAATAAAATAAACTATTCATGTAAAAAGCTTTTGTAGAAAAACACTTCCATTGCCATGGTTTCTTATCTCAAGAAAATTCCGAAAATAGGCGTCACGATCCAATCTGACTAGTCAAAATATTAATAGTTTCATTCGTAAGTCGATGTAGAAGGGAATAAAACATGAATTACAACGAAATCGGTATACTTTGAAACTTGATCAATGCACAGAAAGATACTTTGATACGGAGGTGTAAATAAACAATATGAAATGGCACAGGAACTGATGGCATTTTGGATTGGAATATAAGAATAAATATGGATGTTTACAGCAGTACAGAGGAAAATAATTCAAACTGAAAAAGGAAAAATCCTGCCAAACCTGGTTATGACAGAGCAACCGATGTCTATACTATGACAATTGTTTCCTAAATATATACTTCATTCACCTTCAAAATATTCAAGGATTTCTTCACATCCAGGAACAGAATTCATGATTAGGATGATTTATTTTCACCTTTCTACAGATTGGATACCAGACAGCTTTTATAAATAAACGAACGCTGCATGGAAATTTCACGAAAGCTTTACGAATACCACAGTGATCTTAACGACTACACATGAACAAGACGAAATAAGAGAAACCTCGTATCGTGGAGTGTTGAACATAATAATTCGAATGTGATGCAAAACTGATCTAATGAAAATAATGATAATAGCCATAATCCAGACAATAACGTTTACTCCAGTTCCCACTTCTTAGCGTGGTTATTCAACACATCTTCTACTTGTACAACATTTTTCAACTCAATCATCATGACAATATGATTACTAACAGTATGATAGACAGTAATTCACAACAATCAGCTGATTTTAGGTCATCATCCAGTTCGTATGTTGCTGCACATCCATCACATAGGAAAGCACACATAGGTATTGTGGTGGAGGTTCATCAACTCAGTATGAAAATCTACTATTCGAGATGTCTGTTCCACTATTAGGTGTATGATGTGTAGTGTTGTGTCTGTCGTTAGGGGACAACTGTTGTCTACTGTGATATTTTCTCGTAATCTTGTTGTTCACCCATCTAACGATATGTTGATATTTGAATGATTGAAAGAAGTAGAATAGAAGGAATTTGATGAAATTTATTTGATGAAATATTTTTGGCAGCCAAAGCTTCAAGTAGGGTGTCGTCTGAGTACCACCGACTGTCTACATACGAGTTAGAATCTTCTTACACCGAGAATTTCAATTCACTTTTCACTAGGATAGATATTTACATACCCTCTTGTGATCATCGCTGTATTACTGAATTTTCATTGACTTCATTATTCTCTCATATGTTCCTTGTCAAAGATGAATTATCGAACACTTGTGTATATTTACGGTTTGTTTTATGATGATAAAGTTTCTCACTTTTTAGAGTTTGATGTCAACAAATGAGGTGGATTCATTTTAGTACTCAAGTCTGATCTTTCTCCTTTACACAATCTATTTTACAGAATTTCATGCATGAGTGGCTTTCTCGTCATGTCCTTTGTTCAAAGATGAAGATCTTGTGGAATGCTTCATCACGATGACGGCTTAAAATAGATCGGGGTCAAAGCATAAAAAGCCTACATACTGACTATTTGACGAGCACAAATCTCAGTACTAGAGAGTCAGCATATGAAAAGTTCAGAAACAACTATATTATTAATATCATATGAATAGCTGTATAACATCTCATTGAGGATTTGTCAGTTTCACTAAATGGACATCAACGTTTCGAAATAATGTAGAATATTTGTAGTTCAAGTGGATTGTTATGGTTGTATTGTGTTCTCTGAGCTGAGTTGTTTAAACGTGAAGCTTTCATCGTCCTACTAGACGACATCATCAACACTAACTTCAGTATGAAGTGAGCTGTCAGTATCTCTCAGTGAGTGATTTAGTGGCTTGCTCTGACGATGTGGTCTGTGACTATTTGTTTCCTTCGATTGTTGTGTCATCGACTGTACACACTATCCTGTTGGCTGTTCTCCTGCTTGACCACTTGGAATTGGTGTGGCTCTTAAACCAGCGAATTCCCTGCAAACGCTATTATACAGACGAAGCGATGCAACAAGCAAAGAATACGAACTGAATATTACTTTCACTACATTGAACAAAGTGATCGCCCCCTTCGCCTCCATCTACATGAGCGCCAAATGGCTGTCTGTTAAACGCCACGACATTTCATCACCCATTTCAATGCACGTGGATAACAACACTGGACATGAATTCAATTTGGACAATGTGGAAATTTTGGACGGAGAGAGGAAACACAAGGAAACTCAGAGAATTCCTAGGAGCTTGTCATTCAGGTCAGTCAGTCAGCCGGTCAGCCAACAATCAATAGGTGTTTACATATAGACCCGATCTATCAACCAATAAGGAAGATGATAAACGACAGAAAGATGAGATGTGAAGTAGAGGGACAGTGAACAGGAAAGTCTATGCAGTCGATAACACAGCAATCGAAGGAAACAAATAGTCACAGACCACATTGTCAGAGCAAGCCACTAAATCACTCACAGAGAGATATTGACAGCTCACTTCATATTGAAGTTAGTGTTGATGATGTCGTCTAGGAGGACGATGAAAGCTCAGAGAACACAATACAACCAAGACATCAACGTTTCCTCAGTGTGAAAGACGAATTCTAACTTGCAAAATATATTAAATAACTTTTAAGTTACAAAAATACCCGCAAAACTGAAAATCCTTTGGTAACTCCCATTAAAATACTGAATTCAAAATTACGATCTATAAAGAGTAACATAAATAACATTTAAGCCCAGTACATTTATCACTAAATTATGCAAATGTTAAATATGGAAATAGGAAAATATGGCCTTCATTTATGTGTACACTAAATTTAAACACTGATAGTCCCTTTTACCTTTCTTGGAAATGTTAAATATAATAATGATAATCACAATAATAATAATGTTCGTGAAATACCACGTCCAACTGGTTCGATTGCTTTTTGCCAGAGGCATTATAACCATTCTGTAATGTAGAATAATCTAGAAAGATGCTTCAGACCTTTTTTACAGAGATTTAATCCTATTTTCGTTTCCAGTTGAATGTCTCCTGACTAAGATGTAGTTGTCTAATTCTCTCATTAACCACTGAAAATAGAAGTAAATATACAAATCTTTTCAATGAGTAAAGAGTGAACTGGATGTAGTATTTCGAGAAGAAATGATTGCCAGCGTCTTTAAACTCACAACTTAGTTTAAAGTAGGAGGTCATATTTTTTGGATTCACCAAAGTAGGATGGTCACAGTAAACAAATTACTGAGTTTTCTAAGGATTCATGCTTGAAAATACTACTAGAGATGCATGTAACAAGAAACAGAAACACTATAACTAACCTACTTTATTACTTTAATTTGTCTGTAGAAAACTGTTCTGATGAAACAAACTGATACTGACTTATAATTTATAATACCTAGTTCTCAAGTTATCTTATTGCCAAATGAAATAAATCAATTTTGAGCTTGAAATTATGCAGTTTCGGATTCATATTCAGTCAAAAGTAGTTAGAATTATTTTGAATTATGTCGAGCCAGCTATCACCGGGGTTTTGGGCCTGTCACTTTACCAACTAAACTACAAGGTTAGAATGCTGACCAGATTTTTATTTCATTTCATTCCCAACGATTTTTACTCGACTACCATGTGCACGCATACAAAAGCACATGTGAGCACATTTCAAATCAGTTATTGTGTACTCGACATATTTTTGTTCAAATGTCTACCAGATAGATGCAAGAACTCGACCCTCTATTTCTTTTTTGTTAAGCACTTGAAATTGGCTTAAGTCACGGAATCCAAGTATTGGCATTTAATAATGTGTTAAATGTATCATAACTGAGATATTTAAGTAAGAAATACATTCATTAGCTTATATATAATTATCAGATTTACAATACATTTTGAAACTATTGTCATCCAAATAGAAACGATATTTCCTATATAATACTAACATCATATATTCAAAGTGTACGGACATCATGATAACAAGAAAACCTCAGTTTATCTTAATCGGCACTCTTTCAAATAAAAAGTGAATTTCTAAACAAAAATCTTCAGAAAACTTTTACTGTTTTTTTAAGTGATAAAATATCATATCGAAAATTATTTTTTTTTTATCCTTATGGTTTTTAGCGTTTCGATGGAAAAGGAAGTAAAATGTGTCTGAGTGTTTTCATCTGAAGGAATATACAATATGTATATATATGAAATGAATGAAATTCATATTATCACATATAGTAAAACCTAGAGTAGTCGATAAAACGATAGCGGCTTGGAGCAGCAAGTAATATACATCATTCTTGCGTGACTAAAGCCTTACTCTAAAAAATTCGAGAAAATTCAATGACAAACGAATATTAAATGAATTTATTACCATCATATATCAATGATCTTCTTTGCAAAGGGAAATATACTATTATTATCCCATATCTAGTTAAGCATAAATGGGACATTCGAAATACGCTCTTAGAACAGCATTCTTAAGAAACAACATAAGGATGAATCATTGTCATCACCTTAATAAGTTAATATTTTGTATATTGACTACTCTGATGGGTATAGTATGTCCAGAAAATTTCATATAAGAATTCCACTTTATGAGTTTGGAAAAAGCAAGAAAAACAACGGCATCAGGATAAAATGGATCTGTTTTACCTCAGTAGTATCTTATCAATTGATAACAACTTAAATATGAAAATATAGAAATCTAATAAAAATTCAGTATACTTTGATTCATTGGAATAAAATGGAATATTGGTCAGTGATTAAGACAGATATAAACAAGCATAAAATTTGATCATAACGGCAAAACTCAAAGAAGGATGGTTAATGATGAAACATTTGTCACAATTACATCCAAAAGCCTATGGAAGTTTCTCAAAAAAGCGTAACTATAGGCGTTGCAATCCAAGTAAAGGGATTTCGTATTATAAGATGAAGTAAGTCATATGACGAATCAGCAAAACGTTATAATTTAAGCTCGGTCAGTTAAAATTATTCGATATGATTGAAGGAATAATGCAACTAACTAAAAGTCAAGGAATAAATATATAATAAACATTAGCTGAATTGAAGCACTCGTCAGGAAGGTGTATCTGTAGCCTTGACGGGACTGATGTCGTGCCTGCAATTCACACTCTCGTCACTCAGTGTTGTATTCAGCAACTTTGCCACCGGGCCATCTGAGCTACGTTCAACCTCCTGTGGGACTCAGTTGCATGTTGGTCATGAGAGAGCAATCAATTTCATGTTTTCTAGTCCTGAGTGGATACCGAATCCTATTGATCATACTTGCGATGTGGCCATCAGGCTAGGAGGCTCACCATGGAATACGCCCTGCTGACGAGTCCCAACAAGCATGAAACTTAGGTTCTGGGCTTTCGGCTGATTGCCTGCAACCAACTAACATCTACAAATGTACACCTCGATGCTAAGCCTCCTAGCTTGGCAGCCACATCGTAAACATGATCGATAGGATTCGGTCTGCATTTAGAACTAGACAACGTGATAAACATCTGAATTTGACAGAGGATGATGTAATCCAGTGACTGGCAAAAAGGGTTGTCTAGTTAGACAGAGATTGACAATAGCTTTTTTGAAAAACAAATCAGGTTCAAGGTGTTTCTTGACTATGGCCTCAGCAAACCTCAGGAGAACTGAGCTTGTTTGATTGTTTATTATGTTGAAGGGATTGAAGACGTCTGCCTGGTGTCTAGTGTCAATCAAATGCTGAGTGACTGAACTGCTCAGAGTGTTTCTTCTCCTCAGTCGTAGGCTTTTCTGAAGATATTCAAAAAATTTAAGATACACCTTCTTTTCTATTCTTCCAATATACCTACTTTTACAGATATACGTAAATTGATATACACAGGAAGGTTAATTGTTGACTTTTCACTGGACTAAAGAACACATTGTTTGTTACACAGGAGTCAACCTGGCCACAGGGAAAGTTCTACCTAGTGAGGTCTTCAGTCGTCTGTTAATAGTTCCTGTAACGTCATCACCTTAGAAATTAAGGTGAATGAATACAGCCTTTGACCGATTATAGATTTCTTTGGCTTTTTACCCTGTGTTTTTCCATATCTGTTGATGATTCCTTGTGAATATCCATTATTTCGTAAGCATCTTTCAACTGTTCACAACTCTTCAATCACTTTGTCAGTGGGAAAATATTTTTAAATCTACTAAATAGGATTTTAACTAGTCCCCGTTTGTAGTTAGTGTGACAAAAGTTATTAAAATTCAGATACATGCCGTTTCACATGCTGTTTCAATGAAATGACCTTTGGAGTAAACTATCTGTCTTACATTGTACGGTGATATTCAGAAATTCAACTTAATCTCATTTTTGTATTCCATGGTAAATTTTATATTGCTGTGGACGTTATTAAAATATTCTAACAAATGAAATGTATGAAATAAGTAATTAAAAACAGTAGATTTGTCACCCATGTACCTGGTGTAAAACTTCGTCTCACTGATTTCATCCTTAAGCTTTATATTCTCTGAATTGGCTACAAAGATATCAGATCCTACAGGACTTAATGGGCTTATCATTATCTACTACATTAATTTGTCTATAGAGTGTATTGTCAAATCGGAACTGGTTCACATAAGTAGAAGGTGTATGAACTTTGTTACTGACATAAGAAGAACATCTGGATGCAGGTAAATGATATCTATGGGTTTTTTTGAACACTTATCTTCCTAGATAACGAAGTTATATCAAACAACATCATGAACTTCTTGGAAAATTCAATGATTACAAAATGATAACATCCTATTGGTCATAGAGCATGATGTATGTAAATTCAGTTCTACTATCGAATATTACTTTTGCGAAAATATGAAAGCGGATAAAGAGTCACAAAATGGATATTCAAAACAAATTAGGATTTTATGATTTGAAAGTATTTGGGCAATGCGTAAATGATATTCGTTATTATGATAATTATATTTCTCAAAGAATGTAAAATAAAATAAATTTGTTTCAACTGACATTCCACTACTTAATGTCAACAAGTTTATCTAAGTTGCAATAAACCCAAATTTACAATTTCCTTCAAGATTATATATATGATAACTTGATAAGTGTTCTTCTGCATTCATCATTCTATGTTATCAATTTGTTGAACACAGATGATATTTATATGTAGTGAATTATATGTGTGAAGGATATATGAAATACAGATTGAGATTTGTATGTACACATGTGTTAATAGTTCATATCAGCTAACAACAGAGGATGAAGTGGTTGAGTATGTTGACCTTGTTCATTTACATGGGAAGTAGGATCAGCCCTGGTGGCTCACTGGCCTATGAAATCTCTACATGACTGCCTTTCGCCAACTTACGCCACCTGTGACGCCGCCGTGATATCCGATTGTCTATTAAGGGTCGCGTGTAATACACCTACACAGCAGTCCACTTTGTTCTACTGTATGGCTGTGAAATATAGCCATTGAAAGTGGAAGACATGAATAGTTTTCAGGTGTTTGATCACCGTTGCCTCCGTAATATATGCCGCCGTATTCCGTGGTGTCACCACGTGAGTAATGCAGAAGTCAGGAGTAGAGTTTCAGGGGAAAGAGGTAAGTCGGTTGATGAGGTTGTGAAACTTTATCAACTGAGATGGTTGGGACACGTGTTACATATGCCTAATCACCGATTGCCTCATCACACAATGTTGGCCGAAGTAGGTCCAGGCTGGAAAAAGGCCCAAGGTGGCCAGAATAAAACATGGCACCAATATAGGAAGTCTTTGACTGTTAGTTTGAGCCATGTGGGGCGATGCAGACTAGTCGGTTTGGGTCGGCGGGACAAGAGGAACCAGTGTTTGGAGACTCTAGGTTATATGGCTCAGAACCGATGTCACTGGCGCAAATGTATACATACATTATCCTCATCTTATTGACGCTATACCGAATCTCACCATTTTCTCATTCTTCCTTTCTCTCTCCTTTTGAGTACTTCATATTTCTTTTGACTGAATTTTCTTATCATCATCTTGCGCCTCACTGCCTTTTTACTAAATGTACTGATATGGGGTGTGGTAGCTCGGACCGTTACGCAGTAATGCCTGGTTCTAGGTTGATCTGGATGGATGGATTTCATATCATATACATGTTGGTTATATCAGTATGTGACGATGGTTTAGACCATGTCGAACTGCATTTTATCCCCTCATTCCTCTATTTTAATGAATAATTATCCCTTGAAATTCATTCGTGAAATAGAAATAATATTAAATTACGTCGTAAAACTACTCTTAATCCATAGGCGTCAACAACAGCTATCCCATGCAGATCACACACCTCAGATAAAATTAGGACAGTGCTCAACAAGTATATTATCAGAGTGTTCAACACAACTTCACACAGACTGCTCAACATCTTAGTTTATTTGAAGGACGAGATATCTTTTAACTTACAATATAAATGTGTTCTTAAATTTAGTTGTTCAGATTTCTTTGCAGCATATATGGGACAAATTTCCCGTGAAATCAACACACACACTCTCTCTCTGAAAAACTTAACAACACTTCAGCAGTAGTTCTACCTGATAAAATGTCAGGTCATAAGGTTGATTTTGACAATATAGAAATTATAAAAAGTGTCTCATAACAGAATCTCTTCACTTAAGGGGGAATACTGTAGAAACAGGAGTCAGGGAATAAAACGTAGCCTGACCAAGTCTCAAACCCACCCCCTTAGCATACAGACATAGCCAACCAACATAAGATGAAAACTATCAATACGCGTGTAGATTATCATTTGAGTACCTAAGATAGCAGTAGCTTGGCGGACTATTATTTATACTAGGTGATGATTGAAGGTGAGATGAAATTCTGGATCGCGGTCGGATTACAACCACTCATCACCAGGTTATCGGCCCGATGCTCAACCAACTCAGCTACAACGTCCAACTGCTCACCACATTTCTAGTTCACTTCAATCACTAAGGGTTTCGCTCGACTACCATGTGAATTGGTGCTGAGTTACTACCGCTTGATCCTATTCACACTGGTTGCCTAGTCAGGAATTTGCATCCAAATCCAAATCTAACTCACGAATTCACATGGCAGTCAGGCGAAACCCTTGATGACTGAAATGAAATAGAAATCTGGTGAGAAGTCGGACCTCGTATCTGAGTTGGTAGAGCACCGGGTCGGTAACCCGGCCGCTGTCCAAATTGTCATTTCACCTTCAATTATCACCCAGTATAAATGCTAGTCTGCCGAACCACGGCTATCTCAGATAGTTAAATGATAATCAATATGATGCTCCCCTTCTCTGATTTTAGTAACATTCGGAGTGGGACGAGAAGTCCTGACTAGGCAACCAGTGTGAATACGATCAAGCGGTTGTAAAGCGTCGCAAATTCATACAGTAGTCTAGCAAAACCCTTAGTGATTGAAGTGAAATAAATTCTGGTCAGCAGTCGGACATGTGTACATACAAATCTCAATCTGTATTCCATATATCCTTCACACATATAATTCACTACATATAAATATCATCTGTGTTCAACAAATTGATAACATAGAATGATGAATGCAGAAGAACACTTATCAAGTTATCATATATATAACCTTGAAGGAAATTGTAAATTTGGGTTTATTGCAACTTAGATAAACTTGTTGACATTAAGTAGTGGAATGTCAGTTGAAACAAATTTATTTTATTTTACATTCATTAGGAAATGCAAATACTAATACAATGAAAATCAGAAGGTGGCTTTCCAGTCCCCTGATTATTGATTACGCATCTTTCAAAGTATAAGTATGTATTTTTCTTCCAAGAAAATGTATTTGCTGAAATCATACCTTATAAGAACTGCAACGAATAACAGAGAAGAATACCGAGTATATATTTATCACAATGGGCAGCTGAAACCATATACTGATCCAATTGCTGAACTAAATTTATTCAGGTTTTGA